AACCGCCTCGAGCGTTCTTTGCTCGAACGCCCGTGGTGAGAGCCCAGATCGCATCAGAGCTGCAACAGCGACGAGTCCGTTCGCGTCGGATGGCAGCACCATGGACATCGCGCCGCGTTGGATGCGGCCGCGGTAGAGATAGACGGGCACCACGACGCATGTCCCGATCAGCGAGCCCCAGCAGCACTGCTGCAGAAAAAAGGGCACCGCGTCTCCAGCGAGCAGGTAGAGTGCTGCCTGGGGGTACCACACGAGCTGCCCTGCAAGCTGCGTGTAGAGATCCACACGCCAGAGGCGGCGGAGCGCGCCACGGGTCGATGTCCGGTGGAGAAAACAGACCGAGAGATTCGCAAGCGTGAAGAAGGACCACCTCGGAAAGGTGCCGGCCATGAAGCAGACGATGGCTGTCGCTCTCGGGCTCCACTCAGCGGCTTCGGCCTCGGGAATGTACCGGTGCTTGAACATGTTGTAGTCGCTCGCTAGGCAAATTAGGCCCTGCACGACAGAGTAGGCTCCCACGGCGCACATTCCTTCCCGATCGACTGGGCGGAGCGCCAACAGTATCAGACGGGGAATTATGCCGTCGATTACCCCGAGGAGCGGTGCAGGCAGCGACCATTGCTCGTCGAACACCGCCTGGCTTCGCGTGGAGCTCATGTCCAAAAGCCATTTGATGTAGGCTGAGAGGTCGGTGACTGTGTAAATGGCCCACGCACAACAGAGGGTAAAATACGTGATTGCGAGTCGCACTCGTACGTCAGCAGTGTGAGCTTTGCACAAGATGCTCACGATCTCAGCGTCGCCGACGCCCATATCCTGCCGCTCGCGCCGGAGCATGCACTTCGCCGTCACAGCGATGAGAAAGAGCAGCAGAGGTGTTAAGGCGACGATGGCGACGAACGTCCAGTACACTGCATCAGGCTGAGACTGCAACGTCTGAGACTGAGCGCTCCTGTTGTGTGGCTGCACGCTATCTGCATGCTCAATTTGGATCCACAGTGCGGGAGGCTGGGATGGCGGCGAGAGCCCTTGCGTGAGCACGACCAGCGGCATTAGCTGCTCTTCAGCTGGCAAGGTTGTCGGCGAAACTGGCTGTGGTGCGGGAAGAGTTTTTTTTCAAACTCCCTCACAAGGCACGGGACTAGGCACGGGACTGGCGCGCACTGGCACTAACAGAAAAAGAGAAAGCGGCGCAACAAGAACACAACGCAATCTCTCACATGACAAGCGATCCCACTACGTGAAGGGTGGAGGGGCCCGTCCGCGGAACTAGGTAGTCGGCGCGGGCACCCCCCACCGGGGCCGATTGTGTCTGTGTGTCGCTCATGCGTGTCGTCATCATCTGTCTAGCGTCCACCCATACCGCGTTGGTGTCCAGTCCGAGCCTGGCTGTTCTTCACCTTCCCACCTAACTAACCTAACCCAAGGGGCCGAGGACAAGAGGCAAAAACCCAAATTACGTGTGAGTGTTAGAGTTGTTTGGTATTGCTAAAAATCTCTCTCTCAAGAGGCCGTTTGCCGCTTGCTTGTTCTTGATCCAGTTGATGCGCATCTTGCGCGCCTGCTTCTTGATGTTTTCGGCGTCGCCCGCCACCGCCGCCATGGAGATCTGCTGCGTGTGGTGGACGACAAGATTTTTTTTTGCAACTGTGAGCCAGATAAATAAATAAATAAATAAAACAGACATCCCAGGCTAGGGCTGGGTCGAGGACAGACACGTCCCCACCTTTGCAGGATTTTGCAAAAGCGAGGGGGGAGGGCGCATCGCGGCGCGGAGAGGGCTGGGCACGGGCACAGGGGGTCTCTCTCGCATAGGATACGTGAGCCAGATGAGCGCGCCGTCACGAGGAGCTCGTTTTCTTTTCTCTCCTCTTGGCCGCGCCCGCCTCCCGCCTCCAGCCCACCAATCGCTGCCTCCCTCCGGATGGGCAAGGACCGGCGGAAGGAGAAGGCAGAGGAGAGTGAGTCGCTCGGAAAGAAGGCTGACAAGTTTGGCAAGAAGGGCGACGGCAAGATTGCGCAGAACCAGGGGCCAGACAAATCGTTCACTCACCAGACCTGCCGGCATATCCTCGTACAGAAGCAGTCGGACGCGCTGCGGATAAGCGAAGAGATACACACGGGCAAAATCAGCTTCAACGAGGAGCGGCCGCCGCCGCGCGCCGAGCGCTCGCTGCGCTTCCCTCACTCAGTGGCGCCACCGGCACGTGCGTAGGCCGCCTTCAAATACTCCGAGGACAAGGCCGGCGCACACGGCCTTCTCGGCGACAAGGCCCAGAACGAGCTCGACCCCGACTTCTGGGCGGCTTCCATCAA